TGAAGTGGTTGACATATTCACTCCTTATCATTAAACTGGGAGTGGTTGCAGACCAGCCCTGGAGCATCATATTACATTTGATAGCTGCAAAACGCCAGACAAACATAATCAGATTTAGTTTCAATGATGTCTAAAACTAAGTCACACCCCATCCCAAAATTATTCAGGGATCTACAAAGAACCTACTGAATACATATTTCCCGCCAAAATCCCTCTCACAAAGCGGTATCTTTCAGAAGTTTCATTGCCATGTCCATGAAAATTCCATTTGTTAACCATGTAGTCAATACAAAGAGATACTGTGTGTGAAGTTGGAGTACGATGTGGACGGTATATCCTAGAAATAATTTGTGGGTTATTAAAGCACTGTGAACTAGTGAGTCTATAGGATCCTGCAGTAAAGTGAGACTAGACTGCTTCATGTGGAAATATTTAACACATACAAAACGCTGGATAACTTAACTTCGGAAGGACAATGATACTCATCTGTTAGTTATTTACAAATAAGAATAACAAGGAAATTAAAAATTTATACAAAAGGGCAATTTGCCGCTTACCAAGTATACTCTTACGAACTTTACGACTTCTTTTTGTAAATCCTGTTCTTTGACAGTATGCATCCTTGATGATACTGATGCTGTTGTTATTGTTGTTGCTACTACTGCTGCTTACAAATGGTTTAAAATCCTTCGGTGTTGTCTGATAGACTAGTGCACGATCATGAGCAGATGAACTTCGTGGTATTCTTAAATTCTCAATTATATCTTCTGATTCAGTTCGAACAAGTGATCGAAATATCTGACCTAAACTCATCGTCTTTCAGATTTGCTTTTTCAAAAAGTAGATGTCAGTAAATCCTTGACGTTTATGTATAAGGTTGTGTTGAGATGGAATTGTTATAACATTATTACGGATACAATTTCAACTTGACAAATGAATAAAAATGTGTAAAAATAGTGATGCTCTCCTTCGTATTACGTGTAAGAAACTAAGACTACTTCTCTAACTACTAACCAACCACGCAGTAGCTACTAGAAGAGTAACTTTGTTTGACCTTGATGTGCTTACAGCTGATTGGATGAAGTACTGAATTAACTGCCCACCTACGCAATGTCACGTGAACACGTCGTAAGTGTCGTTGACAGAAAATATGTGATAATTTGAAAAAGTGAAAAGTGACAAGATGTTTAGTTAGTTCACAGACAGGAAACAGCATGCGTTTCATAAGAAAAAATGAAGAAAACTGGTGAAAGAAATATAAAATCTCATGCATAAATTACAAATTTCATCTTTTTATTTTAAAATCAATGCTGAAAATTAATGTGAACGCCTATACGGATAGACATATAGGGTTAATATAGCTGTAAGATATGGTTTGTAAAATGTGGGGTCGAGGTTCCCAGTTAGCAATTATAGGTTTTCATACATTATCTGTTATTTAGCTATGAAGCAAGTCACGAGGCACAAACTGTCAAAAGTTTAAAACAGACAGTCAATAACCTCATCAACTGATCTCATATCGCAGCCGAGTCACCCTAACACATCCTGCGTTAGTCAGTCTCCCGAGCTAGGGCAGGTGATCACCCGATGTGTGTGGGACACATGTTAAATTTACCTGACCTAATTCATCTTTAAAGCTCTGAAATCAGACTAACTCAGTTCCCTTACCTAAAGCTTTATGTCAGATCATACAATAGCTAATCAACTGGTCACAATACACATTAAAAGTGTCTTCAAGATACTAGACATCAATAATCTGTACACCATAACTTGCTGTGTGGGTAAAATCCGAATTCACATGGTGGAGAGGATTGCTCTTAGAAATCATAAGAATCCATTGAATCATTTAAATAATTACGGTGCACAAAATATTAGGCCGCATCATCCTGGAGAGACTGAAGGATGCGCTGGATTCAAAACTACCACCTGAACAGGCTGGCTGGATTCACAAAGTACAAATCATGTGCGGATCAATTTGCAACGCTACACTACGCATCATCATGGAACACAGCATAGAATGACAGTCAACTCAACTCTACCTCAACTTCATCGACACTGGAAAGGCCTTCGACACAGTCGACCAACAAGTAGTTTGACAGGCAGCTGCTTCAACACTACGCTCTCAGTGCCACTAATCTTTATCAACCTCATTCAACAGCAGCTATATGCTACATGATGCTACGTGTGAAATGATTCACAGTGGGAAGCTCAGTGATGCGTTCGAGTTGAAGACAGGAGTAAAACAAGGCTGTCTACTATCACCCATGACCCTCCTGATTGTGGTCGACTCGACTAGACTGGATCATGCAGCAGACTAATGTGAGGAGCGAGAAGATGGGCGTACCCTGGATGGACCGATGGAAACACACTAGAACATTTCGATCTCACCAACGATGATGATGATGATGATGATTTATGTCTAATATTTTGTTGCACAACATCGAAGATCTACAGGTGTAAACTAACAAGTTGACAGAAGAGGCAGGGCACGGCAGGGTAGGGCAGGGCAGGGCAGCAAAGAAGGACTTCAAGTGAATGTAGAGAAGACAGAGGTAGGTGATGAAGATACCCAACCAACAACAGCATCAACAACAAGAGGCACCAATCACCATTAACAAGAGTAACCTGAAGGAAGTTGTCTCCTTCACCTACTCGCCCAGAAAGCATCATTTCAACTACAGGTGGTGGTGGCACAGACGAGGATGTGAAAACCAGGATCGCCAAAGTAAGACAGGCCTCCACTAATCTGAAATCAGTGTAGAGATCTAGTGCACTCCACTCAGCATAAATCGTGAACAAGATCTGGATTTTCAACACTAATGTCATGGCAAGTCAGTGCTTCTATGTGATGGTTGAGAGAGTTGGAGCGTTACGAAAGGAATTTTCAACAACCTACAGATATTCATCAACAACTACCTACACTCGCTCGATACTGAAGATGAGATAGATGGCCAGAAATAATAATCAACAAGGAACTCTGGTTGATTGGCAACGAACCAACGAAGAAGCTATCACTCAACAAATATGGATTGGAAGGAATTGGAGATGTATTGGATTGGGCATACACTGAGAATACGGTTTGGGATGGGGAATATCACTCACCAGGCCAGGTGAGTTCAGACCATCGAGTGGAACTCAGATGAGAAACGACGAGTTGGGCATGCCAGTTGGGTGTGACATGGAGGATATGGTGTGAGGAATAAATGAAATGTCGTGGGTGGTTTTGCAGTCGGGTTCTAAAGACTGTAGAGAAGAGAGTGAAATGTAGACGTGCTACTGAATCCCAATGTTCCACTAGGAACCCGAGAGACAAGTAAATAATAATAATATAAGCCCGCTCAAAAGGTCCCTAGAAAGTTGAAGAGGACACAAGAAAGCGAATTCATAAATTTCAATCGAGCTCTTCAGCTGGATACACTTCTTGACTGTATAAATATGGATAGACACAAATTGATGCAAATCAACTTCATAGAGAGTAGAAATTCTTGAAATCCTTTATGCTAGTTTAAATGTTTTTATAGGAGTGAAAACCTACATCTTGAGAAAAGGCATCTGTCTGTTTTCGTTTTCTATAGTTGAGAGTGAATGGTCTAGGTTAGTGAGTGAACAAGCAAACATCCAACTCAGCCATGCATCCAGAGTAGACTGCAAGTATGATGTTCATACTATTTACTCCATCAGAATAAGCAGGAAACGCTTGGATTTACAGGAGTCAAATTAATGTGCATAGAAGGAGGTGGCATTCACTTTGAATTTCACATCATATTGTAAGTTTGTGTATTGTTTTCTGTTCTTCACTCTATTCACTTCCTTATTATTTCTTATTCTCTCGTACTTTTCGTACTTCTGTGTAGCTTGCTCTATTCCCTTAACACTGTCTCAACTTACTTCCTGTATAGTGTTAGCAAGTCTGTATTCGAACTACCAACTGTTCATTTTCATACTGATACAACTTATTTTTAATCTAGCCATGTCTCAATGAAGTTCGCCGGCTGCCTCTCCACCATCAACCCCATCCTCATTAAAACAGTGAGAAGGTAATTTTCTTCACTTCTATGTTGTCATGCATCACCGAATATTTTAATTTGTTTTACACCACAGTCTACTTGACCAATATACAGCGTAATAAAATGAAAAGTTCCTTCAACGTTTGACTTTCTTCAGTCTTGTCTTCTTCAGTGTCATTCTTCATTGTAAGTTGATTTTAAGAAGAAATTCTTTCCAAGCATATCATCTCCACTGTAAGTGTAACATCATGGGAGTGGGATGGGATGGGTCTGCGGAACATGCATAATGGCTAGTTTATGCAAACAACATGATGATGAGGGGAAAAATCTACAGCTGACATTTACTTAACTAGACAACAGAGAATACAGACAGGAAGGAAACCACTGAAGTGAGGTGAGGTGTGAGTGGGGAAGACTAACTTACAGGTATCCTGTCGACTGATTGTAGTTACACTCGTCTAACACAGACTCCAAACAACGTTGAAATGTTTAACTAACAGTTTAGATTTCTCACAGATATAACGTTGACTGCTTTCTGGGTATTCATTCTAATAATTCTATACAACTGCAAATCTTGTTCTTTCTCTTTCAGAATGGTTATGTAGAGCAGATTGTCTTGCATTATCAGGAAGGAATATAGCATTGTAATTTATTCACTAATTTTCTCTTTTATACACACACTTCACCAATCAATCAATCCAGTCACAGAAATACATACTCATATACATATACACCTGCAAGGTTGATTGATCATGAGTATTGACAGTATTGGGCAGTTTAAACAGAACTTAGTGAATGCAGTCTAAATATAGTAAAAATCAATATTGATTTTTGTCAATTTCAATCTTGTCTATGCGGTTCTCAACGATCACTAAGTAACAGACACACAGACACATACACACACACACACACAAATATGCACATATATATATATAGATAGATAAAGAGCAAAATAAAAAATTTTTAGTGAATCAGTACATTTCACAAACTTACTTTTAATTAACAAAGTTTTTGAGGCTAAATTCGACATAGGAGTTCCCCATGGAATCAACTCTTTACTGATCAAATCGATGCATTGAATTGGAATAGTGAAATCGGATAGATGTGATCGTATCACATCGCTTGAATTGCAAACCGTAAAAAAAAGAGAGAACAATTATCACTTTTTTTCTCAAACAGTATTTCAATAATCAATCTACCTTTAGAATTAAAAAAAAATTCATTAATCAATATTTTATTAAATTAACTAACTCATTATGGAGTAACATCTGACTTCTATGATTTAATTTTTACATTCATTTTTTATACTGAAAACGTTTTCAAGAATTGCGGAAAAATTGAAAATTTCCGCCTACATTATTAACTGATTTTGATTAAACACTGGTCACTGTAAGTCAGTCAAACAATAGTCATCATTTTTCTGCTCTGATCTGAAATTCTTAATCACTGTGTTTCAAAAATCCTGGTCTGGCTCATGATGTCCCCAGTCGGCCTTCTCAGTGCATGCCCAATCCAATCCAACCCATCTCCACTTCCTTCCAATCCATATTTGTTGAGTGATAGCTTCTTCGTTGGTTCGTTGCCAAACAACCAGAGTTCCTTGTTGATTATTATTTCTGGCCATCTATCTCATCTTCAGTATCGAGCGAGTGTAGGTAGTTGTTGATGAATATCTGTAGGTTGTTGAAAATTCCTTTCGTAACGCTCCAACTCTCTCAACCATCACATAGAAGCACTGACTTGCCATGACATTAGTGTTGAAAATCCAGATCTTGTTCACGATTTATGCTGAGTGGAGTGCACTAGATCTCTACACTGATTTCAGATTAGTGGAGGCCTGTCTTACTTTGGCGATCCTGGTTTTCACATCCTCGTCTGTGCCACCACCACCTGTAGTTGAAATGATGCTTTCTGGGCGAGTAGGTGAAGGAGACAACTTCCTTCAGGTTACTCTTGTTAATGGTGATTGGTGCCTCTTGTTGTTGATGCTGTTGTTGGTTGGGTATCTTCATCACCTACCTCTGTCTTCTCTACATTCACTTGAAGTCCTTCTTTGCTGCCCTGCCCTGCCCTACCCTGCCGTGCCCTGCCTCTTCTGTCAACTTGTTAGTTTACACCTGTAGATCTTCGATGTTGTGCAACAAAATATTAGACATAAATCATCATCATCATCATCATCGTTGGTGAGATCGAAATGTTCTAGTGTGTTTCCATCGGTCCATCCAGGGTACGCCCATCTTCTCGCTCCTCACATTAGTCTGCTGCATGATCCAGTCTAGTCGAGTCGACCACAATCAGGAGGGTCATGGGTGATAGTAGACAGC